TACATGTGGACCTCTCTCAGATTTGTTCATTTTGTAATGATATCTTTAATTCTCTAATTTTGGTGAATATTTTTGTCATTTTTGGTCAAAAGTGATATTTTTGACTTCTTGTTGAAAACTGTAAGTCCGATTGCTTTGATATTACATATATAGGTACTACATGTGGACCTCTCTCAGATGTGTTCATTTTGTGGTGATATCTATAATTCTCTAATTTTAGTGAATATTTTTGTAATTATTGGTAAAAAGTGATATTTGTTACTTCTTGTTAAAAACCGCAAGTCCGATTGCTTTGATACTATACATATTGTTCATTTTCTAATGATATATTCAGTTCTTTAATTGAAATGTGCATTGCTAACAGCGGAGCTATCTCAGCCGAGAGGCTGCTTGTTTATTTCAAAATAATATTATAAGTCAATATTAAAAAATCATGACAGTTTTACTTGAAACATGACAACCCGGTAGACTTCTTTTATAAATATTTAAGTACTTGCCATATTTACATTAATGTTTGCTGTTTTAAATCTATGAATTAACGGGGTGATTGTACATTTCCATACATGACTGCGCCACCATTGTTATGTTACAAAATTGATTTGTTGCTATGGTAATGTTTTTTCATCCAACCCCCAGATTTGACTTATAAAGTAAGCAAGCTCTATGTACCGGATTCTGCCGTAAATTCGCCCTCGGCCGTTAAACGGCAGTTCGGGTTTTAACAAAAATAAAATGGGACCAAGAATTCACCCAGGGCGATAGAAGTCCCCAACAAATTTTTGATGATAATTTTTCGAATTTTTGAACCCCAAATAAGCGCCCACCAGCCGTGAAATTGTCCAGGGCGATTTTTTGGATTAGCAAATTTACGACAGAATTTGGTAATATGAAGGTGTGAAGCACACTCCATGTCAAGTTTAATTTCTAAAATTATGATTTTGATAGTGTATGCACACTTAATGTTGATACACATATTTCTACCTTAACCTTTTTCCTGCACTTTTTTTCAGACGATTTAGACAAAATTAATCAAATTTAAAAAAAAAAAAAACTGAAAATTGACTCAAATTTTGTATGTTGGCTCCAAAATTATATTTCCATAAATATTGAAGAATTATAAGAAAAGTTTGGGGGAGAAAGTCAGCAGAATTTTGACTGTTTTGAACATACCGATATATCTATGTAAATCATGTAAATGGTCACTGATCAAAATGACTGAAAAAATCTGCATTTCCGGTTTGTCATGTATGAATTGATATTTACCGATTATGTAACAATTTTGAGACGTTTTTAGCAAACCATCAAAACAACACAACAGGCAATGCTGCTGTTTTGGTGTCTGACTCAACAGTAACTGTGCTGTAACATATCATACAGAATATGATATACAATTTCATATCTTTATAATATAGAAAACTATTATTTGTTTAAAATTCACATATTGATTTTCTTTATTTACATATATTACATCATTGAATGCAATCATATTACATTGTGACACTAGTGCTCTGTTCTGAGTAATTCAGCTCCTCGTTACTTTTAAATCATCTTATTAATTTATATTTATTTTGTGCATATTAATTGTAAATAGTAAACAGTGATATTTTAAATCTGTTGTGCATTGCTCCTCGATTTTTGTATGAAACCCAATTAACCAATTCTCTTTGTCGTAACCTATCCATTATCCACAGTATTTTAGAGCCTTCCCCCAACCGTCCTGTCCTCGCCCTCGCCCTGCTTGAATAAAAATCATCTTGGCCAATGATTGTAGCTGCATTTTGACATATCGCTATATAATAAATCATTTTAATATATGGCTGTTTACTAATTGCAGTAGGAAATACTGTAAACCCATTAATTTTCACTGCTGAACATTTTATGGTATTCGTAAAGACAAAATTTCACAGAAGTCGTTCTGTGATGTGAGATTTACACATAACATAACATGGCATTACATTCAACTGTGAATTGTATGTCCAATTTTGCCATATTGTTTACAATATATGCATCCCTCATGTGTAAAATATACCTAATTTGCATATTCTTTACAGTATACGCATCCTGCGTGTATAAATATACCTAATTTGCATATTGTTTACAATATACACATCCCTTGTGTGTGAAATATACCTAATTTGCATAGTGTTTACAATATATGCAGTGTGTGTGTAATGTACCTCATCTTCATAAAGTTCACAATATATGCATCCTGCATGTGTAAATATGCCTAATTTGCATATTGTTTACAATGTATGCATACCGTGTGTGAAATATACCTAATTTGCATAGTGTTTACAATATATGCAGTGTGTGTGTAATGTACCTCATCTTCATATAGTTCACAATATATGCATCCTGCATGTGTAAATATGCCTAATTTGCATATTGTTTACAATGTATGCATACCGTGTGTGAAATATACCTAATTTGCATATCGCTCACAATATACGCAGTGTGTGTAAAATGTACCTAAATTTGCATATTATTCACAATATACTCATACAGTGCGTGAGATATACCTCATTTGCATATTGTTTACAATATACCCATGCCACGTGTGTGAAATATATCTAATCTGCATAGTATTTACAATGTATGCATACAGTGTATGTCACACGCAACGTAATATTACCGTAATTGGTATAGTACAGGTGTGATGGTTCAAATACCAAAATGGCAACAGTAACAGAAAGACTTCCCTGGCGGCGATGATAAAATACGAACACGGAGCCAACAGATGAGGTTTCAACTGGTACTGGTATTATTATACTCTGCAAACATCAAGTACAATAACGTGGTAAAACTCCACTACTCCAATAACTAGATACTTAAACTCCAATACAATTCAACGAGATCTCCGATGTGATCTCAGTGCTGATCAACTCCCCTATATATACC